TGGCCGCGCACTCTGTGCACCGAATGTCAGCGTTTTGAGCGCTACGAGTCCAGGGGTTTCCACTACCGTGTGCGGAGTGAAGACGAGCATAAAGAAAGAGCCACGCGACTGAGATCCTCCACGTCAGACTCAGAACTAACCAGCGAACGACGACGAGATTTGATACGAAAACGGGACACACGAAGCGTGCCCAAGCCTTTCTGTTCTAAACGACGGGCTGTAGCCCGGTGGGAGGCACGACAATACTTTTTGGATTGAATTTGGATTTTTCCCTCTCTTCCCGCCTTGCCCGCACGCGCATTCCACGACGCGCGAAAACGATCGACTTGCTCCATCGGACCAACACGGGGGATTTCAGTTCCGTCTGTGTCCCCACACTCAATTTCCAAAAATCCTTGGCACACCCCATCTTGCTGTTTTTCTGGGCCTCTTTTCCGCACAGCTAACACTCCGAACGGAAGACAGCACAGGGCGTGAGGTTGCGCGTCACACACCAGCCACCCCCACTCCTTCAGGCTCACCACAGGAACAACTCCAGAAGAAAATGAGGACTGAGGACCTCACAATGGCAAATGCTACACAGGCAACAGTATGACTATCCCCATGGGTGGGACCTGTTCTCCCCGCAGCTCAGCACGATACTCCGTTCGTTCTTACCCCCCTCATCTTTAAACAATGCAACCAGAACACTTCGATTTTGATGCAGAGGAAGGATGATAATAGCCTAGTTATCCCATCTCTCACCACCTCATCCTTCCCTTAGCCTGAGGTCTTTCTGCAGGCGGCAAGAAAAACTTTGGATAAGAAATATTTTGTGTGCCCCATCCCGGCTGTGCCCTGCATGTCGGTGTATAGACAGGGACACTCAGGAAAGACCCATCCGATTATGAGCAAATGTCTGGAAGCAGCTATAACGCCTGGTGTAGACCCGTTAGTCGCCGATAAGGGTTTCTTTTAGGCCCCTACGTCCTGGTTTAGGAAAAGCAACAAGAAGGAAAAGTTTTATCCGGAACTAGGGGAAGGTATCAAAGGTGACATCGTCACTGAGCTTGATGATCAGCTCCCCAAGGAAAGGTCCATCTTTTCCAGGTATATCCTGGAATCGATGAAATTTCCTTGGGACACCAGCACCCTTATACCCAACCCGGACCCCCAGGGACCGTCCCAGGCGCCTATCCATCCCAAGGCGCAGGCGGTAGCCTCAGATGGACCGTAGGCTTTTAATAGCCTCATGGAATGTTCGCGGCCTGGTAGACACTAATGGAAAGCACAGACGAGCAAGACTCAAGTATTGGATTCACACTCACTGCGTTTCAATAGCCTTATTGCGGGAAACCAAACTGTCTGCGGACAGATTGGCCTCTATGAGTAGGCGGTGGAGTGGCCCTCAGACCTGGGCCCCAGCCCAAGGTTCTAAAGGAGGCACAGGTGCAATGACTTGCTGTTTTCTGGTCGCCTGTAGCCTCTCTCTGTCGAGGCTGTACTATAGGTAGAGCAGATTCATATTTTTGTTTGGCTGAGGGCTAACCGAGAGACCTACCTGTAAGGGACATATCTGCAAATTTGGGAAAATACAAGCCCGGTACTAACAGGATTCCCTACACCTACCCTAACTGCGAATAGCAGGCCCGGGCTACCCCTAGGACAGACAGGCCCTAAGGGGCTATGCTGATAGACGGTCCTATAGCCTACAGCTGGGTCCGGCAGAGGCCGAGAGGCCGAAACAGATACGGTACCGGTAGGTCAGTCAGTCCGGTCTAGGTCCAGTCTAGGCTAGCTGTAGTCTATGGATAGGCACATCAGTTCAGGGCTTTTGGCAGTTGGTACGGAGTACATCGCTGCTGCGCTACGCGTGAACCGGAAGCGGTGACGGCTCAGTGTGGGAGGAGACAGGCATAGCCAGACCTTCGGAGCGCCAGCCATAGCTGGGACCTCCGCTGTACTCTGCCAGCACGCAGGGGCTGACAGAGGTCTGGGTTATCGAGGTCTGTTGCAGGGGAGAGAGATTGGTGCCCTGCTGGACCCTCCTCCAGAGTGGGGTTCCAGGGTGTTGGCGCTGCAGCCATAGCTGCAGCTTTCTTCCTCTGTTATCTCAAAGAAGCCTCTCAAAGAAGCTTCTCAAAAAATTCCCAATAAGCACAGTAAAAGGTAGCAACCTAAATGCCCAAATACTATTTGATTTCTTCGTCATTTCTTCGTCATTTCTCTGACAATTGCTTTCGGCGAAAAAAAAGGGGCTCTTCTCCACTGGCTGTCGCTTTGCCTCTGTGTGGGAGTTTTGAATCGGAACGACTTCCAGATGGTAGATGGTAGGTAGGCAGAATGATGCCATACAAACCCGTATGGAAAAGAAAGCTCGACAACAAACTCAAATTTCGGGCGTTCTCCGCGAGTCCGTGGCTTCTCTGTAGTATACGCGAGCAATTGATTGGTGCCACGTGGATGTTTTTCTTTCAACGGTGAGAGGGGAGAGAAGGGGAGGGAAAGGAGGAAGGTAGGTTGGTGGAATAGCGCATTCGGATTGCGT